ATGTGCACACGTGTGCAGCTTGCTAATATCAGGTCTTCATTATGTTGAAAGTTGGCTGAAATACAAAATATTATGATACTTAAAATGATTGCATTCATGATTTTAATATTGTAAACTTATAATAATCTGCCACGTCCTTTACTTGACAGACGTATGTGAACTTTATAAAGAATGAGAAGTTATTTGAGATCTAAATATTACAATCTTATTTACTCCTAAATTATATTTTTAAAGGAACTAAGAACCTATAATAATTCAGTTACTCAATGCACTTCAGATTTTTACCAAAATGAATTGTTCATTTAACAGAACAGTAGATTTGCTAGTTGCCATCAGAGAAAAATCAAAGCACATTTCTAAATACACGTGAACGTGTACGTGTACGTGTCTAGTTTACAGAACTGGTCTTTTAAGGAAATTTAACATATTATTTATCTTAATATATCAAAAGTGATCTGCTTATTTCTAAGCTATGGTTTCTATTCTAAATTTCTACACATAATCAATCATACATACACATATATGTCTGTATATATGGAGAGAGAGGGGGAACTGACAAATACCAGCCTTCAGTATGTTGAGAGTTGGAGACTGGACATATTTAAATGTACTATATTCAAAATTTTAAATTGTCAAGTAACTTTATAGCCATTTACAAATTTTTGCCGTATTTCTTTAGACACGTATGTTACGTTTACAATGAACACAGTTTCAGTGTTTCCCACTGGGATAAATACCGTTTCAGCTCACGCCTGCAGACAGCCGGAAACGCCAGCCCACGCAGACGTGAGAGCCATCGACCTCCCTGCCTTTGGTTACACCTTGGTGTACACCTGCCACCCGGGATTCTTCCTGGCGGGTGGATCTGAGCACAGGACATGTAAAGCAGATATGAAATGGACAGGAAAATCGCCCGTCTGTAAAAGTAAGTCACTGACGAGGAACTGAGATGACTGCTGCAGAGCAGAGACGGACACAGTTGCCCTTCAGGCTAGTTTGCAGCTTTGAGATCCTTGAGCCAGCAGCATCATGGAAGCGATGTCAGTCACCCACTATCTCCGTGCTCAGTGTGTGTGAGCCGCATGTGTGAACGTGTGTGCAGTCAGTGTTGGATCCAGTGGAGGCACAGGCTAAGGAGATGCATAGATTTGATTACTTGTGAGTCACATTTGAACCAAGGAGAAAAGCTCTTTGGTTGAAGAAAAGCATTATGAGTTAAAAGAAAAATAACATTCAGTATATTTTTGGAAAATGTATTTTTAATGAAAATGGGCAAATATCACCAAGCATCAGTACATATTAAATTAAACCCTGTTGTTTTTAAGACCACAAGCTGTTTGGTGGTGGAATAAGTGTATGTATGCTTGCCGTTGGATCTAGTGTTTTAAATTACAAAAGCAATTAACATGGAAACAATGCATTAATTATTCACAAATTAGCGTATTTACAAAGGAGAGTAATAACTCTGGGTTTTTGATGATAGCTAACCTAAAAGGTTCCCCACCAAACAGGGATTACATACAAGCCATGTACTCAACATCATAAATAAAGATTATGGAGTAAAGTGCATGACTCTAGTTTTAGTTTCCTGGACCTTAGGATGTCTAGTTCTCAAGGTAGGAATTCTTAATATATGTTTCCCCTGCCCTTCTCTTTCAGAAATAGAAGTAAACAGAATATTTTTAAAAATGATAATTTGTAGTTTGATGCAAAACTTGAAAAGCTAAGAGATTATGAGTTAAATCTAACTGGATAGACCAAATTAAACATTCTGCAAGGGAAATAATTTGGTGTCATCCAATATTAATTTGTAAGTTCATTGATGTGGGTGGAGACTTAGTGAAGAAGGCTATGAAATCTTAGTTATTTTGTATTATTTGGGGGCAGCATATCCCAAAGAGGAGTCAGAAAATGGACAAAAACCACCCTCCTTTGCAAGGCTCTCTGTTGTAACACACGAAATGGAACACACGCATTAGAGCCACACCAACCGCTGCGCACGCTTTTCCCACAGACATACGGATATTCTCTGTGAACACATGGGTTTCTATGGCAATGTCTGAACTATTCATGTTTTGTACATTCAGGAGATCTGGAGAAAGCAAACTGCTTTCAATTTGACATTTTTTCAAAGTTCTTCCAAAAGAAATGTTTTTGAAAATGATAATTTGTCTTTTTACTTGTAGGTAAAGGAGTGAGAGAAGTTAATGAAACAGTTACTAAAACTCCAGGTTTGTATACCAGAACAGTTACAGATTTAAACCAAATACAGTGATTTGTTCTCTGCTATACCCTGTACAGTGAAACCAATTTTGACATGCAGATTTCGGATTCCCTTAGCCCATGAACAAGTGAATATTTCAATTAATGCAAACACCAAGCCTATGTGGAATTCTCTCTCTTCCATAACAGTGGTTTGTTTACGGAATAACAATATTTTAAAGGAAAACCGTTGGCACAATCATGCACTGTTTCATTCAAAGGTGCCTCAGGCATTTTGCAGGCAGCAATGGACACACAGTGTTGATAACAGAATGTGATATAATGGAGAGCCTTATAAAGAGGGTGCGAGTCTTTCCTCTCACCGAGGAATCCATAGTGAATGAGGCATTGTGACAGTGTAACTGTTAACGTGAGCGGGTCAGACGTGGCGCTCCATTTTGTCCCCAAGTGTCTCCGTCATTCAGGCAGCCCCTGCCTCCTAACATGTGATTCCCGCTTTTGTTGCTCGTGGTACCCTGAGAAATGCATGATCTAGCACAAGACGCAGCCCTGGCCCGAAGGAAGGCGCTTTGACGCCAAAGGATCCCGCACAGTGTACGTGTGTTATAAATGTAGACGATATTTAAAGAATACAGTGTGGCCCCAGAGTAGAAGTTAAGACAAACTTTTCTGTTTTTAATAAAAATAGAAAAGCTTTGTAAATATATAAGGCCACGTTCCTAGAGCTTTCTTGATTCGGGTTTCAACACTAGTTTCTTAAACAAAAAGCTCCGTTCTGGAATCAAGTGTAGAAAGAGTCTATGTGACGCTCTTGTTAAGGCACATGCTGTGTCACACATTTAACTCTTAGAGGAGGCAAACCGTCACGTGACAAGAGCCATTTCTCCAGTGTACGCCATGAAGTGTAAAAACTACTTTTCTTTCAACTCTTTATGGACTGTTCTATTCAGATGTTGTTTACACACCAAATCCAGAAATCAGTCCTCGTCACCCAGGCAACACCATGTTCAGTGGAAGGAATCGCGCTGCTGGTGGTGTGTGTGTTCTGCTATTGCACGCTTCCTTTTTGTTTAAGACACTGAAATATCCGCATTTCTTTTTTGCGGGTACATACGTTATCACCACTATACCTGCTCTCATTCTCGCCGAAGGGAAGTGCTCATTCAATGTGGTTCTTTGTCAAGGGGCCACCTCTGGCACACCTTCAGTTTGATCGTTGCATTCCACTGCACACTACCAGCAACAAGTCAGATGACAAGGACCCAAAACAGTCATCTCACCACATTACCGCTGGTCACATTTGAATACAAAGAAGCCGCTTCTCGGACACTGGTTTCGCCCTTCTTCCCAATCTGCCTGACTCAGGCCCTGGCGCACCAACAGTAACTTGAGTGAATGGCTGGAATAAGCACAATAAAAGCTTCGGCCGAGTGTATCAATTCCAATTAGGGAAACAATCCTGATATTGTTTTAAAGGCTATTAATTCTAAACTGAGTCATCTGGGGCTTGCTGATTAAAACGGGGCCTCTGTGATGCTGCCGATGGACGGGTAGAATGTTTAAAAGCCACTTACCAGTAAGCACGTGCGTTAGATGCCTCTGTGGGTATCTCCATTTCGATGTTGTTAACTTCTAAAAATGACTTGGGAAGGCGGGTCCCCTGAAAGCCATAGGACGTGATGGCATCGGTGCTTGCGTAACTCCTGTTGCTAGGGTGCGTCCTACCGCCTGCCTGGGAGGCCGGGAACGGCCACGGGCGACTGCAGAGAAGCCTGCGCACGGGCTCCGGCTCCGTGTCCTCGTCGTTTGTCGCCAGAAGTGGATTTGCTGAAAGATACGCTAGGGAGAAATGCAGCTTTCCTTCTGCGTACCGGGTCAAGCAGTGTGTGTGTGCCCAGCCATCCTCGCCGTGGCCCTCCAGCGCGGCCCCTCCTGAGGCAGGCGGCCGAGAGACAGGAGAAGCACGGATGCAGCGCCGCGTTTCCTATGTGGGCTGCGAAAGGGGCCGCATTCCAGAACCGCTGGTTAGCAGAACCGTGAAAAAAGAAGTTTAATTTTTTTCTTAACCAGTGAAAACAAGAGGGAATATCTCAATAATCTTTGCAACTACTTTTGTCCCAGATGAATTTTAATGTTTTAAAAGACTTCTAGCCTTTCATTTCTGAAATATATATAATGATACTTGACACCACTTAATGTAACTTTCTTACCAATACTGGAACACTTTATGAGGAGGTTAAAGTAAAATGGAAGAGCAAGGCTGAGACAGTCTGGCTCTACTGATAAAGTGAAGACCTCGAGAAACGGCGTTTGTCTCCTGAGCCAGCACGTCCACTCGGAGTGATGCTGAGACGCTCATGACGAGTGTCAGTTCTCTGAGCCGTCTGAGTCCTTCAGAGGCACAGCTGGATGTTAATGAAGCACCAGCCATCATTTTCTGGGTCGTTTGGACACGTTTCCTGTAAAGCAAAATAAACACTAATCCAGTTCAGGGTCCACTCCACTTTCGGCAGGTCTGTGAGGAGAGGTGTGCTCTGGCGTATCAGATGTCCCCAGCACAGTGACAGAGGTGTGTGGACCTCACAGGAATCTCCCTCCTGTCCCATTTGGTCCTTACACACGTGGTGCGAAGGGCCAGTGCCATCTGTCATCCTTGTCCTCGTCATTGTCATGACTTGCGATGTCCCCCTGAACAAGTCTGCCTTCTGTGTTTTAAGTACCTACATTTAAACACCTAGCTGTTTTTAAAGACCCGCGTTTATTGTTTCTGTGCATGCTAATATTTGTCTGGTTTTCCTCCCCCACAGTTCCTTCGGATGTGTTTTTCGTCAATTCGGTGTGGAAAGGATATTATGAATATTTAGGGAAAAGACAGCCGGCGACTCTGACTGTGGATTGGTTCAATGCGACAAGTAGCAAGGTGAACGCCACCTTCACCGAGGCCTCGCGAGTGGAGCTGAAGTTAACAGGTAGGTGCCCAGCACAGTTCCACGCGTGTCAGCACACGTCCCGTGCCGCTGGCTTTGCATGTGTGCCCCTCGGGGCCCTGTCAGTGCCCACACTAGGGCGGTGAGATTTGCTCTTTGTCAACATCGCGCCACCAGTGCAGGAAAAGGACCTGTTTGTTCAAGGTCAGGCACGTCACGTACCAAGTCAGAGACGTGAGACTGACACCCAGGTAGGCACGCTCCAACATGCATTCTGTGTTCTTTTTCTTTCTTTTTTTAACCCTAACCCTAAGCCTAGATATTCTCCTTTTTAAAATCTCATTTGCTCCTGGTGAGTTTCTGTCCCACAGTTACTAAAGTAACACCAGCTCAGAATTATAGGCCAGATGCTATTTTAAGGACTTTCTGTATTTTGCCTTCTTCATTCTTACATCAGTCCTTTGATGTAAGCATTCTTACTAAACATTTTTTGGGTACTGATTAAAAGAGAGAGGGGAGCACCCAGGAAAGCAAAGTGGCCATCCTAAGGCGACACGGCAGAGTGGGGGCGGGAACGTAGCAATCAGAGGGACTCTGGAGCCCACACTCATACCTAGTAAGGTCAGATCACCTTCATGACTAAATCTAGTGCCCTTTTAATTTAAATTTACCTCATTCCTTACACCCATGTATCATGGTTTATAGACTCACTCCTAAAGATACCCATAAGCCCTAGCCCTGGTTCTGAAAACCAAGGACCCCAGAATGGCACCCACTCTCTCACATGATGAATCTTTAGAAAATATGACAGCAGATCAATATTTCCCCCCATTCCTCACACCTCACTTTTGTGCCTACTTGGATGGGAAGACATCTAAACACAGTGCACATACCCTGGCTTTAGGAAAGGCAAAACCATTCCCACTCACGGATTGTTAACAGGGTCTGTTTGAGTTCTTGCTCTCACGGCCACATTCTAGACCCTGTGGATGGACACAAGATTAAGACCAGGTGCTCTAGGCACGTGTCAGATAATGTCAGACATTTTTAAATGTTCAGATTCCTTAGTCTCACCTAACTACATTGGCTAATATTTCTCTTCATGGCATTTGGAATTTTTATTTCCAAAAGAAAATGTTCCGATGTGATTTTGATGCATCTAATCTCCACGGATCAGTTTGGAAAATCTCTGGTCTAGACTCAGGAAAGTATGTGAGTGAAAAGTTGCTCCGGCTGAGTACCCGTGGGTATAGACACTTCCTGGCACTTGAATTCTGATTAAGAATGAGCGTGGAGCAAGAAAGGAAACTAACGTTTATGGAGCGCCACCAGGACATGATGTTCTGTTGGCTGTTACTATTTCATCAGCATAAAAAGGAAATCTCATAAACATAGATATTGTGATCTCTACCTATAGCTTGTAGAACTAGGGTTCCAAGTTTTAGAAGTTAAATCAGATACCAAAAACACATTGCTGCTGTGGTGGAAATGCACACCAGCCCAAACTAAAGTCTTCAGGGGGCCCTTTCTGTCAGCTGACGTGACCGATGGCATCCCTCCCATCCTGTGTGCTCAGCCAGTGGAGACGACTCCTGGGTTACCAGAGATTTGCTTCTCTAATTTGAGTGAGGGGGATTAACTGTGGGGTTCTCTGAAACCAACAATGTCATTGACCCTTGAACCTGTCTTCTCTGCACAGAAGACATTTGCTTCATTATTATTTGTTTATATATGTTGGTTTGTTTCACCTGTGGAGAGGGAACTAGCTGTAGCTGCAAACAGTTCGTCTTATGTGCCAAGCTTGACACCTCTAGGCAAGAGTACTAAGCAGCCTTCCACTATCTCATGAGTAGCTGCGAGGTGAGGCTGTTGTTTACTCACTTGGTGCCCGGTAGCTTATGGCTACACAGAGGTGTCCATCAAATTTCGTTCACCATGCTGTTCATTTCATTTTCAAGGTGACATTCATCTTTATAAGTAGCTACATGGGGAGTTATGGTCTCTTTTTTTCTACATACTCCTGTCCTCAGAAGTGAGGAGAATATAAATAAAAGTTAATGCAATTGAATGCGTATTATTTTTATGGGATAAAGATGTTGATACAATTCACCAAAGTGAAGTGGATTATACCTACTTAAGATAGACAGAACTTTAATAAGTGATTCTAAGGAAAAATAAATGCTGAAGCAAGAATTAAAAAATAATAACAATTTCTCTTATCTGTGATATTGCTGTGTCTGTACCATATTCCCAACCAAACGGGTTGAGTGCCTGCGCCATCAGCTCTCGTGAATCCGTCTGAAATGAATAACTGGCTTTGCTCTTCTCGTAGGAGTTTACAAGAAGGAAGAGGCCCACTTGCTTTTGAAATCTTTTCAAATTAAAGGTTCGGTAGACATTTTTGTAAGCAAGTTTGAAAATGACAACTGGGGACTGGATGGTTACGTAAGTACCGCATGGGAGGGTTGTTACAAAGCACAGGTTGGTTGGGTGTTACGGTCTGCACAGGGGTGCGGCAGAAAGGGAGACTTCTGAGAGGAGCGCGTGTCTGCGCTTCAGAACTCAGCAGCCCCTCCCCTAACGGCATTGTCATGGGACCCCTTCATTTTATGATGGCCGAAACCTGGTCCTGACATGAGACAAAATCTGCCCCAGAGCAAATGGGCTACTGCTCCAGGGGACAAGACGAGAACTTAGGCCCAGGCTGTGCTTGCTGACACCATAGTAAGAGTCAGGACCAAACTCTTCCCAAGACCACTGGGAACCACTCTAAAAGTTCCAAAAACATCATTCCCAGATCATCAAAGGGGTTTAAGACACCACCTTAATACCCTTCTTTGCAACTTAGCCATTTGCTTCTGCTCTAATTTATTACCTATGAAGGGGACACAGCCTCCCATGGTACAGCAGCCAAAAGTCATGACACAAAGTGAGTTTTACGTAATGTAGGTTCTATCTGAATTCATCTGTGTCTCCCCCATTACAAAGGATAGTTAAACTATGAATGTGTTGTAAATTTACTATTTTTGAGATCAAAATGAGAATGAGAATTTATAAGTTATTTGAAATTCACTGTATATTTCAATTTTTAACTATACATGTGTCACTGAAAAAAATGGCAAAAATAAAATATTTAACTTGTAGTATCTAAATAGGAAGATTACAGTTATGCTTTGAGAAGAGAAGAGAATGGTGTTATCTTGTTACGCACTGTTTTCTTCCTTTTCACACCTCTCAGGTCTCATCAGGACTTGAAAGGGGAGGATTTACTTTCCAAGGTGATATACATGGGAAAGACTTTGGAAAATTCAAGCTCGAAAGGCAAGGTAAACTGCACTTACGTTATTTTTAAAGCAAATGTCAGGTTGGGCTTCAAATGACTCTGCTGAGAAGTAACGAAAGAGGCCAGGACTGTCAAAGAAGCAAATAAAATCATGGGAGAGACTAACATGTCACAGCTGAACGACAAAACAGACTTCTGTTGAATAGCAAAGTAGACAATACAAAGATGGGAAAATGCAAAAAATATGCCAGATGTGGAACTGATATCCTTACTTTATAAAGGGATATTAAAATAAGGGGGAGGGGAAGGAAGGATACAGATCAATTAAAGAATGAAGCAAACTACCCTAAGAAAAGTATAAGTAAGAGCAATTACAAGTGCCAACAAGCACGAGAAGAGCTTAAATTTCAAAACTATATACTGTGGACACAAAGATAGATCATTGTTTCAGTTATCAAAATGTCAACGATTTTAAAAAACGGCTTTGGGGGATAGTAGAAATAGGCACTTGGGTGTTCCTTTTCGGTGGGTGTGTGGGTGGATACGCGCAACTTGGCAATGCTCTTTCATCCAGCAAGTCCACCTCTACAGTTTTTAATCAGATAAGTAGAAACATGATGCTTTGCATATCCAGGGAGATCAAAAGAGGACTGTTCTGAATAGTTGAAATTAGAAATAATCTGTATGTCCCACACGTCTATCCTAAAGGAACTACATAAATAAACAATTTTATTCTATGTGTTAGATTAAATAGAAAACACTTCCAATCAGTATATTTCATGAAAGGAATGAGGACTATATGCTAACATGGAAAGGTGTTCATGACATTTACATATATATATGTGGAAAACTTGACTAGAGCCTGATAGACAGACAGACTGCCGTCCTCCTTTCTTGATACCTTTCTCTACTACTTGATTTTTACCTTAGTAATTAGAGAAGGAAAACACATGAAACCATTACCAACCTGAGTCTCACCTCAGCCCCTTGCTAGTTTGGTAATCCAAATGAGTTACAGTTTCTTCCTCCAAAATCTCAGTGGAGAAGCCAGTCAGTCCCTGGAATGGAGATGGAGACGCCGTATGAGCATGCGCCCTGTGTCCTCCACGGCGCCGTGAGCGTGTGCCTTGTGCTCACCGCGGCGCTTTGCACACAAGCCATTACTACCATGGTTACTACCACAGACAAGAGAATGCGTTTTTGTGTCGAGATTAGCACAGGCTTTCCTCTGGATAGCAGCATAAGCAATACGTGACTTGCAGAATGCTATTAACATATTAATTTTATAGAGAAGCATATCACCGTACAGGTTGGGATCCCACAGCTAACTCTCAGAAGGATGTGAATGCAATATTCTGTGATGATTGGCATTGATGCGTTCATTTCATAAGACTTTGATCAAGATGAAGGATTCCAAAGGAAATGTTTACCAACCTGTATGTTATCATACCTCAAAAAACTTGATCAAAAAGGGTAATTAATCATATAATACTCTTATTCCTCCATTCCAAATTCAGTGCATTTAAATAGAAGAGCTTTAAAGTATAATATCAGCAATGGCTGAGACGATTTTTTAAATTGGGTTATATTATTTTGCAGTAATGAAGTAGAATAAATGCATTAGCTCAACGCTAATGATGGGTAAAGTTTCCTCTCGCTCTAAACCAAATTCTGTAGTTATTTGCCCCTTTCTCTCTCTAGTAATTAAGCACAACACAGCGAGCTGTACAGGAGTCTCTGGAGACATTTGAGCTTACTCATCCAGTGAACCTGACCTGAACTGTAACTTTGTTATTGCAAATTTTCTTTGCATTACCCCACTTCTTTTTAATCTAACAAGATACCAGCTTGCTTTAACAACTAATCTTTATTCTTATGTGATGATGAGCTTATTGTCAGGAAAAACAATTTGGCTCACAAAATAATTTGAATCACAAGCAAGTCTCCCATTTAAATAATTACAAAAGTCTATGTTTGAGTAGTGCTTCAAAAACAACCATTCATGTAAGAGTTATGGCTAAACCCTATTTTTAATGGATAAAAATAAACAACCTCTTAATTGTCTCCAGTCAGTAGAAGAACTGGAATAAAAGTGATTATCATTAAACAGATACTAAACCAACTTAGTGTGAAAGACAACTCTAATGCAAAAGCATGTGTAAGAAACTGACCAATAGGTTGGTTTTCCCATTAAAATTAAATGACCCCCACACAGACACCCACACACACACATACAACAAACAGAATGGGAGAAAATATGTGCAAATCATCTATCTGATAAGTCTTGCATTCAGAACATATAAAAGACTTTTATGGCTTACTAGTTGAGGCAAATAGCCTAACTAAAAAATGGGCAAAGGATTTGAATAGACATTTCTCCAAAGGTACACAAGTGTCCAATAAACACACAAAAAGATGTCCACCATCATTAACCATCATGGAAATGCAAACCAAAACCACAGTGAACTCCTGCTTCATGTCCACTTGGATGGCTATGATCATAAGGAAAACAAGTGGTGACAAAGATATACAGAAACTGGAACTCCTGTGCTTTGCGGATGGGATATAAAAATGACACAGCTCCTGTGAAAAACAGTCTGGCAGTTCATCAAATAGTTAAACATAGAGTTGCCAAAAACCCAAGTAATTTCACTCCTAATGTTCAGCCAACAGAACTGAAAACATATGGTCATAGAAAAATTGGTGCACACATGCTTATGGCAGCATTATTCCTAACAGCCCCAGTGGGTGGGCCTATCCATACAGTGGAATATTATCTTGAAAACATCATGCTGCAGAAAAGAAGTCATTCAAAAAAATGCAGATTTACACAATCATAGTAAGGGATTAACACCCCACTGTCACCAATGGACAGATCCTCCAGACAGAAAATCAACACAGAAACAGAGGCCTTAAATGACAAACTAGGCCACATGAATTTAATTAATATTTTTAGAGCATTTCACCCCAAAGCTGCAGAATATACATTCTTTTTAAGTGCACATGGAACATTTTCCAAAATAGACCACATGTTAGGCCACAAAAGAAGTCTCAATAAGTTTAAGAAGATTGAAATCATATCAAGTGTCTTCTATGACCACAGTGGTATGAAAGAAGAAATCAGTTACAAGACAAAAACTGAAAAACACACAAGCACATGAAGACTAAATAACTTGCTAGTAAATAATGAAAGGGTCAACAATGAGATCAAAGAAGAAATCAAAAGATATCTTGAGACAAACGAAAATGAAAACACAACAACCCCAAATCTATGGAACATAGTGAAGGCGGTCCTATGAGGGAAATTCATATTGGTTTGTCAGAAAAGTCATGACGCATTTTTGCAATGAAAAACAGAAAAATACGTCATGACTTTTCCAACAACCCAATAGCAATGCAGGCATACCTAAAGAAACAAGAAAAATCTCAAGTAAACAGTCTATCTTTACACGTAAGGGAACTGGAAAAAGAACACCAAAACAAGCCCAAAGTGAGTGCAAAGAAGGAATTAATAAAGATCAGAGCATAAATAAATGAAATAGAGACCAAAAAAACAATGAAAAGATCAATGAAACCAAGAGCTGGTTCTTTGAAAAGATTAACAAAATTGAAAAGCCTTTAACCAAACTCATCATGAAAAAAAGAGAGAGAGGATCCAAATAAAATCAGAAAGAAAGAGAAGTTAGAACCAACACCGCAGAAATACAAAAAAATTTAAGAAAACACTATGAGCAACTATATGCCAACAAATTTGACAATTTGGAAGAAATGGATAAATTTCTAGAAGCATACAATCTTCCAAGGCTGAATCAAGAAGAAACAGAAAATCTGAACAGACTGATTACTACCAACAAAATTGAATCAGTAGCCAACAAGTTCCCAACAAACAAAAGCCCTGGACCAGATGGCTTCACAGGTGAATTTTACCAAACATTCAAAAAAGAATTCACACACACACACACACACACACACACACACACACACACACACACACAGAGAGAGAGAGAGAGAGAGAATTAACACCTCTTTTCCTCAAACTATTCCAGAAAATCCAGAAGGAAGGAAAGCTTACCAGATCATTTTACAAGGCCACCGTTGCCCTGATCCTCAAACCAGACAAAGACAATACAAAAAAAGATAACTATAGGCCGATATCCCTAATGAACATAGGTACAAAAATCCTCAACAAAATATTAGCAAAATGAATTCAGAAATACATTAAAAAGTTCACACCACAATCAAGAGGGAGTCATTCCTGGTATGCAAGGTTTGTTCAATATCTGCAAATCAATTAACATGATACACCACATAAACAAAATGAAAAATAAAAATCATATGGTCATATCAATAGATGCAGAAAAAGCATTTGACAAAATCCAGCATCCATTTAAGATAAAAACTCTCAGCAAAGTGAGAATACAGGGAACGTATCTCAACACAATATAGGCCATATATGATAAACCCACAGCTAACATCATACTCAATGGGGAAAAGCTAAAAGCATTCCCCTGAAGATCAGGAACAAGACAAGGCTGCCCACTTTCTCCACTTCTATTCAACATAGTAGTGGAAGTATTGACCACATCAGTCAGACAAGAAATAAAAGGCATCCAAATTGGAAAGGACAAAGTTAAATTGTCATCATTTGCATATGGCATGATACTATACAGAGATAGTGCCAAGGATTCCACAAGAGAACTATTAGAACTGATAAATGAATTCAGTATAGTAGCAGGATACAAAACTAATATTCAAAAATCAGTTGCATTTTTATACACCAATAACAAACTATCAAAAGGAAAAATTAAGAAAACAATCCCATTTACAATTGCATCAAATAAAATACTTAGGAATAAATTTAACCAAGTAAGTAAAATACCTGTACTCAGAAAAGTATAAGACACTGAAGAGAGAAATTAAAGAAGATACAAATAAATGGAGGCATATACCATGCTCATGAATAGGAAGAATTAATATAGTTTAAATGTCCATTCCATCCAAAGCAATGTATACATTCACTGCAATCCCTATTAAAATACCAAT